TTATTTGATGAAGTTCCAGATTTGGGATTAAATCAATAGAACCAAAACCTGGGCGTATGACATATACGCCAATTTTGAAATATATTTTTTTTCATTTGCGCCAATTCAATTTGAACAGTTTTTAAAAGATCTGATACATTTTAGATAATTACCGTTACTTAGGTTAACATAACGTATAGCACAGATTACAAGGAGAAGTCAAGTGAAACTGGGAAATTGAATAGACAATGGAAACAGGAAATGTGTCAAAGAGACAACAACCCGACCAAAGAGCAGGAAACAGCCCAATATAAAAATAAAGAGATGTGGTATGATTGCCAATTAGACAACTATCAAGGTCACCAATGGGTCTTCAATGCAGCGAGAAAATCCCGCACCCGGAGGCGAGCTTCAGCTGGCCCCTTAACAATAATGTATACTAGTTCAGCGAAATGGACGCCACACTAAACTCCGAAATATACAAATGAACCAAAATTAAAAAAAAAAAAAACACACAAGACTAACAAAGGCTAGAGGTTTGACAATGTTACCTATTATGTCTGTTTTGTTCACGCATCGTTGTAAATATAATGGAATTTGATGCGACTGTCATACAAGTGAGAGGTTTAGCGCTATAAAACCAGGTTCAATCCACCATTTTCTACATTTGGAAATGCCTGTACCAAGTCAGGAATATGACAGTTGTTGTCCATTCGTTTGATGTGTTTTATCATTTGATTTTGTCATTTGATTAGGGACTTTCCGTTTTGAATTTTCCTCGGAGTTCAGTATTTTTGTGAGTTTACTCCTGACTTGGGACAGGTGCAAAAATGCGACGGGGTTAAAGATGTTTTTTGAGATTTCAACCCTCTTCTATACCTCTAGCCAATGAAGAATAAACATACACACAGTAAAACTCACAGTAAAATTCAGTCCGATGTTAGAATAGGTAACAGAAGAAACTAAGCAAAATGACAATGATAAAACATTAATAAACAAAGAACTACTAGCATGCAGTTACTTACATGCCAGTTCCATACTTCAATTAAACTGATTGAAAGATTATGTCTTTATCATATGAAAATCAACAAAATCCCCCCGTTAGGGGTTTAGTATCATGCCATCATAAACTTTTACAATAAACTTATCCTGCTTGAAATCCCACTTCCATCTCCTAGTGGTGAGCAGGGGCAGACAGCAGACAGACGCGGTATTTTTGTTATCATATCAATAGATTCTGTACAACTTATATATCTCATTTTATGTTTGTATGTGGTGAGACTATAATAAAATATTGAATCTATCTCATGACTTGTGTTTACCTGAAAATTGGCGCAAATGAAAAAAAAAATATTGGCGCAAAAGACAAAACAATTGGCGCAAACGAAATAGAAAAATTGGCGCAAATGAAATGCAGATTGGCGCAAATGCAAAACGTCGCAAAATTTACCTGTATTACTGAACATATTTTACACAAACAATTAGTATTGTTAACATTATTGACACTGACGAAGGCTATTTGTTAAACTGAAATATTTGTCAACACGATTTTATAACATCATCTTCGTATATTACCATCTTATATTAGTACCGTTGCGCAAATCTGTAGACATATATTATTTCTGTGACTGCATCCTACATCAATTTGTAAGATCCGCTACGTTAGCTAATTCAGCTGATCTGTAATATTCCATCTTCATGCCTTATATATCATGTACTGTGTTACGACGCTAGATAAAAACTGACGAGGAAAGGTAACACCCGGCCACCGAAAGCTTGATTTTTGTCGAGCCTAGGTGATCGAGTGGTCTAGCGCGTCGGGCATAGTGCAGACGTTTTGGTTAGACGATATCTCAGTAGCATGAGTACGAATCCCGGCCAGGGAAGAACAAAAAATGTGCTTCCGCAAATTTACAGATCTAACATTGTTGGGCTGTTATTTAGACGAATTATGTATACAGAATGTGCTTTTCAGCCTTGTATCACCGTGATGGTGATGGGCCGGTATCATGAAGCAATCTTAGTGCTCAAGATCATCTTTTAAAAGATCATCTTATTTGCTAAGAGTGTATCTTGAAGTCGTCTTAGAATGATTGACAGCCCTTAAAATTCATGTTGCACTCGCAACCCTAAGAGTACTCTTTATCCTCCTCGGAACGCTCTCTTAGTTTTAATCTTAACGACTGGGTATCTTGAACGTCGATAATCAACTTAAAATCGTCTTTGGTTACTCTTAGCAAATGTTAAGTGTATCAGCATTCTTTTTTTACTGAAAACTTAACAGAAATTTCTAAGAATGGTCAGGGGCATCCTTATCTCTCTCTTAGTTAATAAAATGCAATGTTCTTGCTTGTGTGTGCAAGAGAGAAAAATGTGATATCCATAAGGATCTTCAGAGATTGATCAAATCCATTGGATTTCCTAGACGACTGTAAGATTTTCCGTGATTACAGAATCGGAAAATGTCCCGAGTACATGTAAGAGCATTTTTTTTCGTCTGAATAACTGTCAGCATTGTCTTCGATTCGTCTTTATTAAAGTTGGCTTTTCTTATAAAAATAAGATGTGGTATGATTGCCAATGAGACAACTATCTTACAAGGTTCAAATTATGTGAATGTAAGCAATTATAGGCAATCGTACGGCCTTCAGCAATGACAAAAACCCATACCATATTTTCGGCAATAATAGGCTCCGACATGAAAAAAATGAACAATTCAATTGAAAAATCCAACGGCCTTATCTATAACAAAACAATTTTGCGAAAAAAGAATATGACAGACACGAACCAACTTCAACTACTGAACTACCGGCTCCTGACTTGGGACATGCACATAAAGAATGTGGCGGGGTTAAACATGTTTGTCCCCCTAACCAAGGACAGTGGAGTTACAGCACAACATAAGAACAAACTCTGAAAACCAGTGGAAAAGGCTTAACTCATCAGATCGAGAAGAATAACAGCTAACAAATACACAAACCGTACGTTGGAGAGTATTTATACATCCCTAACAACAAAAAAGACACAAACCGTACGTGGGAGAGTATTTATACATCTCTAACAACAAAAAAGACACTAAGAACAGATCTGAGAGTACTCGCAAATACTGACAGCTAGTTCAAAGCCAATAACAACTAATAAAACAATCATGTATCTAAAACTAAAATATCAATCAGTACACATCCAACATCTAATAGATTTAGTGTAAATGCGACATTAACAGTCAGAGAAAAACATCTTTTTTGTATATAATTCGTACTTTGTCTTCGTGAATACAGGTCGTATTTTGACCTCTAGTTGACTTTAAAATTGTTAGTTTGGTGTTAGGTTACATATTGAATTATAACATATAAGTGCTATCATACATACAGTTAAGTAGCACCCATAAGGAAAGCAATCTTGGAGCAAAACTGAGAATGAGTCTCTAACAATCTAGAGTAGCATACAAACGATCTAATAAAACATTTAAAACGATATACTGAGGTAAACAAAAACAAAAAATACTACTCTATATTTTTTTACAATTTTATGTAAATAATATAAATTTATAAATAGCACTTTTCACAATACAACAATAAATAAATTGCAGTAAGGCAATTCCCATTTGAATTTTGTCACATGTCATTTCAATTCAAAGGAATCGTATAGGTAAAAGTATATAATAACGGCTAAGTAAGTATGTTTTCCTTGGTAAAGGAAATTAATAATCTGATAACAAAGCATCTATTGAAAATTTGTGCGGAATTTTTGGACGAACATTTCCTTGACGTTTAGTATTAGTAATGTCTTGTAGCTTCTTCCTATTATTTTCTTCCATGAAGTTTTCCCTCATTTGAGTATTAATCTGGTAATCCTTGTATATATGTAATCCTCGGTTAGAGACACTGTGTGATGCACGTTCCGTTGACATACACATTACTGGAACATTATGTGACTGCCTTGATAAATTATTATGTAGTTTCTGCACTAAATGATGAAGCTCTTTCTGAGTTTTTTGCAACGATACAATATGTTCCCTTGCTAGGAGAAGGGTAGACATTTTAGACAGTTTATTCACAGACTTTGAGTACGGCAATACTTGCTTCAGTTCCTCCATTCCTTTGTTCATCTGGTGCATGCGCTGTCGTTCTCTTTCATTCGTTTTTAGGCGATCTTCCTCTAAAAATTTTGGTTTTGTCTTTCGTTTACGAGTTGTTATCTGGTGAACGTTTTCTTTGTCCTTTTCTGCATACATACAGTTTTCTTCAAAGCATTGCATATCTCCTTCAAATTTAGCTACTATGGTGACTTTCTGGTTACTGGATTCCATATCTATATTGTTTATACGCCTTACCGCGGTTGTTTTCACCAAGTTTGTTAGCTTCAGATCTACCCTTTTTAAAATGATTATAATTTGGATTTTCAACTTTTATATGTTGCTACTCAAACACACATCATTGATCAATAATTGTTCACACCTTTTTACCTCCCCATGGGCAGAAAACAATAGTTTTTAAATTGATACAGGAAACAGATAATGATCGCGCTAAAAATTTAAAAAATATTGGTTTGATAACAAAATGGTAACAGCAGGAAATGCCAACGGCACTTAACTGAACGAACATGTTAAAATTAAAACATTTGTTTAATAAAGGACTAATTACGATTTTTTTTATGAACTTCCTTTAGACATTTATCAGAAAGAATTAGATAAAATTTATTAAATCATTAAACAGAAAATTATATAAAGAAAATTAAAAACACGTCGCTTTAAGAGCTGAAATATAGGTTTGTTAAAATGTGTCTTTACGTCAGTAATAAACACGATTTACGTGCATTTTGATGACAGTAAAATATATGTACTTTAGTTTGTTAACAACATAATATATGTGTGTACAGTATCAAGGTACTATATTTAATATAATACTTTTTCATGTCTTCTTAAATGCCTTTAAGTCTACATAATTTATTTTTTAGCATGTTAATTATCACTCAAACGGATAAAAATCATTTCAATTTTATATAAAAAAAAAACATTTACAAATTAAATTTATTCGGCGTACATGAAATATATATAAACATGAGGAGATGTGGTATGATTGCCAATAAGACAACTATCCACCAGAGTTAAAATAAAGTGATGATATGCAATTAAAGGCCATCATACGGCCTTCAACAATGACAAAAAACTCATACCGTAAAGTAGGCTATTAAAAGCCTCCCACATGAAAAATAACGGACTTTGAAAACGCAACAGTAGATAATTTAAAAAAAATTTCGATTTCAAATATGCAATAGTTTTAAAATGAATATATAATTAAACATAAACGTCATTTATTACTTCACTGTCTAAAGAAAGTTTGAAGTTCGAAAGTTGAATTGATTGTGTCACGTTTGATGTTCAAATCATGTGGTATGCACTGAAACTCTGGTTTTCTCCAAAATTGTCCAACAACAGCACGTTGACGTATTCGTGCCTGCAACATTCTTATGGCGTGATTCAGATTTTCATTGCTCGGTCTCAGCAATATGGAAATGCAACATGTTTTACTGATTTAAGTGTGGATATGGATTCAAAGAAATGTTTCACGAAGAATAAAACCTTAAAAAATCATGCATGATATTCAAATTTCGCTTTCAGAAATTCGTCCGACGTTAATAATCTGACATGTTTTATTACCTCAGATAAGTCGAATATTGAATTTTTCTGAAAAAAAAAGAAGTATGATAAGCATGAATGGCAATTATATGAAGATTAATCATGATTTGGTAAAGAATTTAACCAAAATTAATTAATGTGTGTTGCTTTTTAATAGTTCGTCAGTATAAGAACAAACTGTAAAAATCAGTTGCAGTTGCTTAACTCAAAAGATCGGCACGAGGTACAAAACAACTTACATAAAAATAATAAACACATAGCACCGAAATAAGAGTACTCTCAGTTACTGAAAGTTAGTTCAAAGCCAATAAAAACTTATAAATAAATTATGTTCTCCCATGCAGACTAAGGTATCAATCAGTACACATCCAACGGATTTAGTTTAAAGACATCATAAACAGTCCGAGAAACGAATGACCTAGTGCAATGCCAAAATAAGAGTAAACAGTATCGACGGGATTTAAGATCATGAGTTCTTATAACTGTGCATATATAGCAATATATTATATTTTGTAAAATTATTACTGAATAACCGAATTAATTTATTATTAGAGGACAAATGAGAAAAGTTTTTACAAGTTTTGCTGAAAAAAAACTAAATCGTCATTTCTCACATTAAGGAGAGAAGGACACTCAAAACAGAAGTGAACCTCATCTTCTACTTTATTATGGCAAAAATCACACTTTCTATCTTTAATATCCAGATTCTTATTTCTTCCCTTTTCAATATTCAAGCTATGAGCACTAAGTCTAAATTTACTTAATACTCTCCTCTGGTTTTCATTGCCATACCTCAGATATGCTCCAAGCTGAAAGCAAGACTTAAACTTCCTGTATGTTCTAAGCTTACTTCCAACTTTAGCATTATGTTTATTATCATTATTTAGTTCTGCTGTCCATAAAAGTATAAATTTTGTATGTAAACATTTTTTTATTTTATTCAATATGCATTTATTAGTTATTTTAAGATCTCTTTTAAATAAATGACTCATATTTAAAAAAAATAAGAATATGGTTAATACATCCCATCCACGATTCTTTTCCTTTCTCAAACATATTCCATGATTCATCAGAGGCTGCCTTAAGTATGGTACTATCATTTTCAGATTTTTGCAGCCTATACCAATATTTTATCATGTTAAATAGCACATAACACAGAGTATGTAGGCTACCTTACTCTGATCTAACACCAATATTGATGATTTTTCTACCTACTACAAGTGCAAATTTTTAAAATTTAGTGTGCACTTTCTCCAATACAATTTTATCAATTTCCTTTGTTAAATATTTTGCAGGGTCTTTCATAAATATTTTACTTTTAAAGCCTCTCCATTTTCTGAACCATACAATATTCACTGTATGATTAAATAAATGGAGTAGTGAAGTAATATTTGGCTTATTTTGTGTAAATATCTTACTAAGCTTAAAGAATGCCTTTAATTATTTATTATAAAGTTATATGAAAATGTGCCTGATGCTGCAAAACATAAACCTAGATATGTATATGTCTGCACACGTTCTACTATAGTATTATGATATTTAAATTCAGTTTTTTTTAAAACGACCAGATTTATTAAAAATTAGAACTTTTTTTATCAGTATTAAAATGTAATTGCCATTCAGTTATACAATTTATTTGGGAAGTTTTGAAGACCACTTTTACTCTCTGATAATAGAACTGAATCATCTGCATAAAGCAAGCAACTAATAGCAGTGTTATTCATTGTGGATCACAAGATGTGTCAAAATGTGATGGTAAATCAGTAAGATATAAGTTAAACGGACTAGGGCTTAGGTAGTCGCCCTGTCTAACCCCAATATCTGAGGAGAAAAATTCAGATCTATAGTTATCAATATTAATATACATAGATTTTATTATATTATAGAACTTGGATCCTACTCTTGCTGATTTCAGTTTATAAAACAATGATAAATGTGGTATCGAATCAAATACACGCTTAAAATCAACAAAACATGCATATGACTGTTTAGAGCTGTTTTTAAACATATTTATTTATCAACGTGTTCAATACATGTGATATGTTGTCCTGCTCACTGCGGTAAATCCTATTTGTTCTAAGCAATTAATAATTTTTTTTTAAATAAAGTACCAATCTATTATTTAATTAAATAATTTACTCACATTATCACTGATTGTTATGCCCTTATATTTGATGGATCATAAATCGATCCTTTTTTATGCAATGCTGTTTTGTATCCTAATGACCATATTTTTTGGATAACTGCCGTTCAGTAAAATTTTATTGAACACCTCTACTAGGATTGGGCACAATATTGTTTGTCCATATTTTAACATTTCATTTAAAATTTAACTAAATCCACTGGATTTTCCATTCCGAGTTTAGTGATTTAATGACTTTAAACACTTCTGAGTCTGTTATCCTGTAGTCTAACTCATTAAAGACATTTCTTTTCTCTTCTTCAGCCAATGTGTCTGCTATAGAAGCATTATGTTTAGTATTATTATTAACATTCTGATTTAGAGTTCCAGTCTGAAATGTCAATATTAGTTTCATAAGATTTGGAGTTATTTTAATTTTTAAGCTTTTCTATTAATTTCCAGTATTCTTTTGGATTTTCACTATATGAATTATCTAATTTATCTAGTAGAATTTTCTGTAGTCTCATAGTTTTTTTTTCCCTATTTTTTCTATAATGTTTCAGCAACTTAAAAAGGAACCTCTGACAACAGGGTTGGAGTTAGTTTTGAGACCTTTACTTTTGTGATATAGTTCCATTTTCATTAACTTTAAATCATTATTAAACCATGGTTTATCTCTTTTCTTAAACTTGTTTATTTTCTTTCTTTTATCTTCCTTTATTTCAAGTGATAGATCAGTTGATTTTGATATAATTGAGTTTAAATTTACAACTAAAGTCATCGGTTTCATCAGATTTTTGTATTTTCTGTTAAAAATCGGTGATCGTCTTTTTAATTGTATTTGAGCTTAATGCATCCACAAATTTTACAGGAGAATTATCATCCCAAATATATCAACCTGGCATTAAAGCTGATTTATTATCTGTATTTATGATATCATATTACATTAAATCATACACGAAATCGTGTAATGATCAGATAAATCTGGTAAATAATCATGAACTTTAAAATATCTAAACAGAGAAAGTAACTCTTCTGATGTTACTATAAGATCTACTGTGCTACTGCTTAAAGGCTCATGACAAGTGAACTTTCCCAGTAAGTCGCCTAGAATTCTACCGTTAAGGATGTTCGCTCCTCTTGTTTTTGAATTGTTGCCAGATATTCGGAAACCTCTGGTTTTATCCATGTAGTGCCAGTAAAAATTTTGCCCACTAACCCTTACTTTTCTTTCCATAATTTGATTACATATAGTTTAAAATGTCATCTTTGAAAATCTTATAAAATCCTTGTTATTTTTTCATCGTTTTTGAAAGAAAAAAGGTGCCAATGTTAAATGTATGAAAAATCTAGAGAGAATTATTTCCCGCCAAATTTTCAATGGCTTTTATCTCGAAAACAAGCACACGGACCCTTCATTTTTTTCTGCTTTTTTAGTTTATTTATTTATATACTATCAATTTATAACAGTCTTTTAAAAAGCTTGTTATTTTGAAACAGAGAAGGGAACATCCTTAAGTATTCTTAGACCAGAGGAGATGCAAAGTGATTGGAGTTGTCTCCCCTAGTACATAAAGTATTATCTTGATTCAGTCTATGTAATAATGATGTATCTAGACTATATGACTCATATAAAGGTAAATGTTTATCAGAATCATTTTCAAAATAATCTGAAGCCTCTGCAACCCTAGCATTGAGATCTCCAGCTAGTATTCAATTATATCTTTTTCTATCATTTCTAGAATATTATAATCAATGCGTCTACTGAATGATGAATTTTCAGGAGGATCATATATAAAACATAAAAATATATCACAAATAATTGTTCAATCTTTTAAGAGTTGATCAGTTGAAAATGACCTTTTCAGATCAAAGGTGGTTTATGTTTTTATGGTTGAAGGTTGTATGAGAGTATAATTGAAAAAAGGACAGAATTCGTTCATTTTTTGCAAAAATGTAGTATGTATTGTGATATGCTCAAAAATATAATAAAAATGATCGATCAGAAAAAGATTAATTATAAGTTACAATCTTAAAAATTTATTCATTTAAATGAAAATTTACATTAGTTAATTGCATTCCTGCATCAAATTTTGCTGACTAGATAGAAAATCTAGACCTATGAGTTCTGCTATTTTACAGTTCAAGAGGACAAAAGACACCCATACTGCCTAAGAATAATTATGGGTCACAGAATTCGTTTTCACGGACGGTCTACATCATTCAAATGGTGTCCTAGATAAAAAAAAACAAACCCATCAGAAACGAAGTTGGTGACCATATGCTTTATTGGTATCATTATAACGGCAATTTATGCATGGACGACATATAATTTTCTATGGATTTAAAAGGGAAAATTTAATGATGTAAAGTTTTTTCTCGGATTTTATGCTCTATATCTACTCATGTTGACCTTTGTTGAAAGAATTCAATCTGTAACATTTCAAGAAATAAAAGAGATAAAATCAATTTTTCGATTTTTAATTATAGTTCAACGAGCCAAATTGTATGCCAAATTTTCTTACGCGTTTTTTGTGTGAAGTTATTTCCAGATACCCTCCCTTTCCCCCAATCCAGTTATTGATGTTTCAATATATGGACTAAGAAGTGGTATACTTAGATTGGGTTCATATATCTTTAAAGATGTATTTATTTTAACAGGTATATAACTTATTTGGCTTCACTAGATAGTCTTTGTTGATCTTCGAAATATGAAACATGTGTATAGTGATCCAGTTACCTGCATTACTGATCCAGTTACCTGCATCAGTGATCCAGATACCTGCGTTAGTGATCCAGTTACCTGCGTTAGTTATAATATATTATAATAATTATGCTTATACTAATACACGTATTATTCATTGAAGAGTAATATTATTCGTTTTTGGAAAGGTCCACATTTTGATACCACAATTGTTCTATTTCCTCCATTCTACCCATAACTTAACATGAATTGAATGCAAAAAGATATTATACACTCCGTTTATGGGTAAGAAATTAACAACAATCCAAAATTTGACGAAAAAAAAAACAAAAAAATTTAACAAAATTGAAGTACAAAGAAGAATAAAACAAGCCATACGTTTATTTTTTATCTGTTGTTAACAAAGTCATACTGTTATATTTTAAGAAAATATACTTCATAACCGGCAGTGTTTTCTATAAATTTCCCTTTGATTATATTGATCTTTGCGGGGTTTCTATGGTACCAATAAATTCTATATCCTTCATCATATATACTTCTTAATGTTTGAAGCATTTGCAAAGAAACGGAATGTCTATGAATTTCCACTGAAAGCTGTCTAGTATTTCTAAGTGCACCAGTTTTGATCATGTTGGGTAAAGACTGCCATTCCATAGATTCTATATCCATTTTTAAAATGTCCAGTGCTTTCTGGAAAAAAGACATATTCAGCATAAAGCGCATTCAAAAATTTAATTAAAGTTTTTCTTACTTTTTAGTCTATTTCAAATCAACCGAGGGACTCTCGCAACCTATCGAATAGGTTTCGGATGCACTTAGAATATGAGTTAATTGAAAAGACACAGGTAAACATTTTCTTCAAGTGTTGGACCAGTTTTTTTATTTTTTGTATTCATGAATTAAACAGCTTCATTAAATTCTAATTATTTTATGTGAAATGTGTATAAATATTGTAAAATTGTTTATCTATATATTAAATATTTCTATGACTGTTAAAGTTTAAGTTTTATGACACCTTCTGTTGTCTCATTGTAGCGTGTTTGTCTCGAGTGCGGGAGCTTATGGGTTCGATTCCAATCATCATGAAACAACATACCTGAAAATTGGTATTTGCTGCTTCTCCGCTGAGCAAGCGGCGTTTAGGTGCAAGAGCAAAGACTCGTGGACTCGGAGTCAGAAAAATTTGTCCAAACAGAGAGTTACTTTGTGATAAGCAAGTTCAAAATCTCGCATAGAGTGTCGATCTAGTACATAGCAATGTCCATATTCGTATCACATTAACAGGCTCACGTCCTGATATGGGAGTTTTTCAAAAAATGTCCACTTTTCTGTCCAGTACTTAAATTTTAATAAAATCATATACATTTTTTGTCTCAGTCTGTCTATAAATTGTACTTAGTAAAGACAACGGCAACACTCTTTGTTTGCTTTGTGGTAAGGACTCTCTGAAAATATCCGACCAAAGGGCTCAAGACAGCAAAAACCGTGACGCTCTGTCCACTTTTGAAAGTTTATTCAAATTTTCAAAATTTCATACCATTTACCAATCTTTTTTGCACCTTTTGGAATGCTATGTCGTAGAGGTACATCTGAACATTACAAAAAGTATTCAAACATTTAGAAAAAATGAAATAGATTTGTTCTAGTAATTTTTTAAGTGGCGTCCATGAAAAAATACTGATGTTACAGTATTGACATGTACAATTAAATTACCAGATTAAATAACATATTTCTCTACATTGTTTTTTTTTTATTTGCCAGTTGTCAAAAAGTGGACATTTTTTGAAAAAGGCCCATATGCATGTTATATTTAGTACTGGTGATAAAACACAACCATCGTTATTATTACCATCATCTCACTTTTCAAAGGTATAATTGTTTCCAGTACAAAATATACATAATTATATCAATCAAATTGCTATGGTTTAAACTATATTTTCTACGCAACTTGTAATTCGACAAACTGACAATATTTTGATAATATCTAAGAATATGATGACAAATCTTCCTAATCAAACATTTATTTCCTTTTTTATGGAGTTAATATTCTATAAATCATGTTTTTAATCTAATTAAGTATGTTTTGAAGTGTTTGAGCTGAACTTTGAAAGCGTACTAGATCTTACCGAAGTATGGTTCAGTTCTGCAAAGATATCTTGTAGAGTCGATACCTTCCATTTGTTTTTCCCATATATTCCTGATTTATCAGACAGGCCAAGCTTATGAAACCATATGAGATTTCCTCGTTTAAAATCCGAAGTGTTCATACTACAAATGAAATATAACATGGAATCCTATAGTGATCATTAATGAATGTCTATTAAGTTTTATCGTTGTATGATATTGTTGATATTAACGACTCTATTTCTTCCGCGAGCCTTCTGTCACCCAAGGTTTTATACGATGTCCTTTTGCCCAAGCTAATGATTTGTTCTAGCTTGCTGCAGATAAACATATATCTGATGAGAACTCTTAAATAACGCAACACACATAATAAAAATTAATACATCATTTTTGCTGGTTAAAAAGGACAAATTTTGACATTCTTCATTTATAAAAAAAGAAAGAAAAGTTTAACAACATATGTATTTGAAATTTTTTTACGTCGCTTCTTTGGAGTTTTGTAGTAAGAGTCTTTTTGCATGAATACAAGTTTTTTCTTAAATCAAACTTTTGAAACTTTTAGATAATATTCACATGTAGTGTGTTTTGATTATCTTGGCTAATTTATACTATTTATATCAAACAAGTATAATAAAGGAACAGCGTTTGATATATAAATCACAATGCTTACAACTATTGATTCACGAAAAACTTTCATCATGTACGGTACGCTCGAGAGCAAACGTATCAAAAGACAAAAACCTTCGATGTTGAGGAGCATCAAATATAAAAGGGCACACGGCCTACACAAAAACATTCGATGTTTAGGAGCATCAAATACAAAAGGGCCCACTGCCTACAAAAAAACATTCGATGTTTAGGAGCATAAAAGAAAAATAATTGCACACGGCTTTCACAAAAATCTTCGATGTTTAGGAGTATCAAATAGAAAAAGGGCACACGGCCTACACAAAACCATTCGATGTTAGGAGCATCAACTAAAAATAAAGGCACACGACCTATACAACACATTCGATGTTTAGGAGCATCAATTAAAAAAAGGACAAACGGCATACACAAAAACCTTCGATGTTTAAGAGCATCAAATACAAAAGGGCACACGGCCTACACAAAAGCATTCGATGATTAGGAGCATCAAATACAAAAGGGCACACGGCCTTCACAAAAACATTCTCTGTTTAGGAGCATCAAATACAAAAAAAAAGGCACACGGCCTACACAAAAACATTCGATGTTTAGGAGCATCAAATACAAAAGGGCACACGGCCTACACAAAACATTCGATGTTTAGGAGCATCAAATAAATAAAGGGCACACGGCCTACACAAAAACATTCAATGTTTAGGAGCGTCAAATACAAAAGGGCACACGGCCTATACAAAAACATTCGATGTTTACTAGCATCAAATAAAAAAAAAATCAACCGGCCTACACAAAAGCACTCGATGTTGAGGAGCATCAAATAAAAAAGGGCACACGGCCTACACAAAAACATTCAATGTCTAGGAGCATCAAATACAAAAGGACACACGGCCTACACAAAAACCTTCGATGTTTAGAAGCATCAAATAAAAAAAGGCACCCGGCCTACACAAAAGCATTAGATGTTTAGGAGTATCAAATAAAACATTGCACACGGTTTTCATAAAAACCTTCGATGTTTAGGAGCATCAATTAGAAAAGGGCACACGGCCTACACAAAAACATTCGACATTCGATGTGTAGGAGCATCAAATAAAAAAAGGGACACGGCCTACACAATAACCTCCGATGTTTAGGAACATCAAATAAAAAAAGGGCACACGACCTACACAAAACCTACAACAAAAACCTTCGAAGTTTAGGAGCATCAAATAAAAAAGGGCACACGGCCTACACAAAAACATTCAATGTTTTGGAGCATCAAAGAAAAAGGGCACATGACCTACATAAAACATTCGGTGTATAGGAGCATCAAATAAAAAAAGGGTACACAGCCTACACAAAAACAATCGATATTTAGGAGCATCAAATAAAAAAGGCACCCGGCCTACACAAAAGCATTCGATGTTTAGGAGCATCAAAGCACATTGCACACGGCTTTCACAAAAACATTTGATGTTTAGGAGCATCAAATAGAAAAAGGGCACACGGCCTACACAAAACCTTTCGACATTCAATGTGTAGGAGCATCAAATAAAAAAAGGGCACACGGTCTACACAATAGCCTCAGATGTTAAGGAGCATCAAATAAAAAATGGCACACGGCCTACACAACAACATTCGATGTTTAGGTGCATCAAATAAAAAAAGGGCACACGGCCTACACAAAACCTTTCGATGTTTAGGAGCATCAAATACTAAATGGCACACGGCCTACAACAAAAACCTTCGATGTTTAGGAGCATCAAATAAAAAAAGGCACACAGACTACACAAAAACATTCGATGTTTAGGAACATCAAATAAAAAAGGGCACACGACCTACACACAACATTCGATGTTTAGGAGCATCAAATAAAAGGACTCACGGCCTACACAAAAAAATTCAATGTTTAGGAGCATCAAATAAAAAAGGCACACGGCCTACACAAAATATTCGATGTTAAGAAGCATCAAATAAAAAAAGGGTACACGGCCTTCACAAAAACATTCGATGTTTAGGAGCATCAAACACAAAAGGGCACACGGCCTACACAAAAGCTTTTCGATGTTTAGTAGCATCAAATAAAAAAAGGCAACCGACCTACACAAAAGCATTCGATGTTTAGGAGCATCAAATAAAAAAGGGCACACGGCCTACACAAAAACATTCGATGTTTAGGAGCATAAAAAAATGGCACACGGCTTTCACAAAAACATTCCTTGTTTAGGAGGATCAAATAGAAAAAGGGCACATGGCCTACACAAAACCATTCGATGTTTAGAAGCATCAACTAAAAATAAGCGCACACGACCTATTCATCACATTCGATGTGTAGGAGCATCAAATAAAAAGGGCATACGGCCTACACAATAACCTCAGATGTTTAGGAGCATCAAATAAAAAAGAGCACACGGCCTACACAAAAACATTCGATGTTTAGGAGCATCAAATAAAAAAGGGCACACGGCCTACACAAAAGCATTCGATTTTTAGGAGCATCAAATAAAAAAGGGCACACGGCCTACACAAAAACATTCGGTGTTTAGGAGCATCAAATACAAAAGAGCACACGGCCTCCCACAAAAAACTTCGATGGTTAGGAGCATCAAATGAAAAAAAGGCACACGGCCTAAACAAAAAACATCCGATGTTTAGGAGCATCAAATAAAAAGGGCACACGACCAACACAAAACATTCGATGTTTATGAGCATCAAATAAAAAAGGGCACATGGCCTACACAAAAACATTCGATGTTTAGGAGCATCAAATAAATAAAAGGCACACGGCATACACAAAAACATTCGATAATTAGGAGCATCAAATAAAAAAGAGCACATGGCCTACACAAAATCATTCGATGTTTAGGAGCATCAAATGAAAAGGGCACACGGCCTTCACAAAAGCATTCGATTTTTAGGAGCATCAAATAAAAAAGGGCACACGGCCTACACAAAAACATTCGATGTTTAGGAGCATCAAATACAAAAGAGCACACGGCCTCCAACAAAAAACTTCGATGGTTAGGAACATCAAATAAAAAAAAAAAGGCACACGGCCTAAACAAAAAACATTCGATGTTTAGGAGCATCAAATAAAAAGGGCACACAACCATCACAAAACATTCGATGTTTAAGAGCATCAAATAAAAAAGGGCACATGGCTTACACAAAAACATTCGATGTTTAGGAGCATCAAATAAAAAGGGCACACGGCCTACACAAAAACATTCGATGTTTAGGAGCATCAAATAAAAAAGAGCACATGGCCTACACAAAAACATTCGCTGTTTAGGAGCATCAAATAAAAAAGAGCACATGGCCTACACAAAAACATTCGATGTTTAGGAGCATCAAATAAAAAGGGCACACGGCCTTCACAAAAGCATTCGATTTTTAGGAGCATCAATTAAAAAAATGCACATGGCCTACACAAAAACATTCGATGTTTAGGAGCATCAAATACAAAAGAGCACATGGCTTACACAAAAACATTCGATGTTTAGGAGCATCAAATAAATAAAGGGCACACGGCCTACACAAAAACATTCGATGTTTAGGAGCATCAAATAAAAAAGAGCACATGGCCTACACAAAAACATTCGCTGTTTAGGAGCATCAAATGAAAAAGGGCACACGGCCTACACAAAAGCATTCGATTTTTAGGAGCATCAAATAAAAAAGGGCACACGGCCTACACAAAAACATTCGATGTTTAGGAGCATCAAATACAAAAGAGCACACGGCCTACAACAAAAAACTTCGATGGTTAGGAGCATCAAATAAAAAAAAAGGCACACGGCCTAAACAAAAAACATTCGATGTTTAGGAGCATCAAATAAAAAGGGCACACGGCCTACACAAAAACATTCGATGATTAGGAGCATCAAATAAAAAAGAGCACATGGCCTACACAAAAACATTTGATAAGGTTAGGAAACGCGGTAGTGAAATATACACTCGGAAATTGTAAAGAATGTTATCAAAAAAACGAAAAATTATGTGTTGTGTGCAACATTGTCAAATCCTTTATGCGAAAAAACTCGTGGACATGATAAGATATTCAAAACGAATAATTGATATACAGTTGAGATGACGTAATCTGTTGTTTATTATAATTATACATTCTAATAGTGAAGAAAGATTTTATACCTCACTACTGGAAATAAATATACACAGAACAACTCATGACGACTGGATATTTGGTTTTCTTCCGGCATTCTCTAAAAAAATTACTTAACCTTGAACAACTCCAGACAGTTACAGCTCGACCACCTTTTTCGCATGTGTTTCAGGGTTTGTTTTTTTTTGGCATGGTGAAAACACCGTTTGTTAATTGCATTAGACTTCACTTACTCCCATAAACAAAGATTTCAAAATATCCCTATGCCTGCTAAAAACACCGTTTGTTAACTGCATTAGACTTCACTTACTCCCATAAACAAAGATTTCAAAATATCTCTATATCCTATAACAGGTTATAGTAAGATTGTTTAACCTGAAACCTTTTTGATACGGTTTTGCCTTGGTGTTAAGCGTAAATTATGGAAAAAGTACTTTCATGAAGTTCTCGAATGACACATACGCATATAAAAATGCATATATTCTTTGGTTTACCTTTTCCCCAAGTTCGTTGTTCTTCTGAATCATTCATTCTTGTCTAAAAATAGCAGTTTACACAAAAAATTGCTTCTTCGGGCTAACATTAATTCAATTTTCTAAAGTTAATTGCATAACAAAACAGGTATTAGCACTTATTAATGGCGATATTTATAGGCTTATGGTTTGACTGTGGGTACGAGCGTTCGCAGAAATAGTAAGCCTGTCACCACATTCTTTAAGTGTCTGTTCCAACCAGTTGGTGTCTTTTTTAAATTGCTTCTTATTTTGATATCCAGGTGACTTTATAGATAGTCTATTACACTTTTTTTTCTTATTGAGGAGTGCCATAGCTGCCATCAACCTTGTCTTTTCGTCTTTGGTCGATTGTTGTCTCATTTACATTCATATCACTTATCCTTATTTTGATTTTAAGTGTGTCCGTGGTATGCATAATTTCAAAATACCATTGATGTTAACATTCTTTCTTATCTTCGTATTTCATTTTCCTTTTAATGAATTATGCATCATACGAAGTCTAGAGTATACATATATGGACAAGAAGAATACCATAGTTATTTTCCAGAAGAAAGCCGACAGTCTGTTAAATCATACAATCAGTTTTAAAGAGTTTTTTTTTAATTAAAAGCGTTTTGTTTTCGGCTATCCCTCACTGGAACAAGATAAAAGATACTTTTATTTTTCCGTTCAAGAAACATGGTTTGACTAATTAAAAAATCTTTTATTCCATATCAAGACGAAATTAAAATTAAGAAAAAATGTGTGAAGGTCATTTTTTTTACAAACTAATATTGTATGGAGAATTTATCCCTAATTTGACGCCGAAACTTTTTCAAACAGGAAAACTACAAAATGAATTATTCATGAATTCATTCATTTGTGTTTTATAAAAAATCTTAATTCAAGACAATTAAGGTAGCGTACGCGTGTTCTCATAGGCACTTGTCTCAGAAAAAAATTTCCTATATACCTTAATATTAAAAAAATTCTGAGACAAGTGCCTGTGCGTGTTCTATATCATTATCAATTTATTTTCTTTAAGCAATACACAAATATAAATTCCTGAATATCATGCACCTTCGCGGCAAAACTACTTTATTTTTTTTCCTGTTTACCTTGGATCAAAGGAGTGGATCTCACAACCATACGTTTCTGCCACGGCATCATCAAAACTAAAATCCCAGAATATGCTAAAAGAAGCAAAACGAAAGATCGAAAGCAGTACGCTTAAATCATTGAATATATTTGTATAAAATCTACTGTACGTTTTGACATTTGCATGTCGCTACTACATTATAAAAAAAACATTTCTGTTGATTCTTAAATCGTCAAACAATTTATAGAATGTTAATATATGTGATTTCTAGAGCTAAAGAGAAATAAAAATCACGTTTAATTGTCAAAAAATTTATTTACATACTGGTTTATTTCTCAAAACTTTCTACACGTAAATCTCGATTATGTTCAAATTTCTAACTCGGCATGAAGAAAGGTCAAATTGTGTCACGAAAGTCTACAATCGTTCACAGCTATACAACCAGTGGTGCAGCATCTTTCTCTTTTTAGCGGATTGATCAAACAATTTAAATAAACTGTTGACACAGAAATTTGTCTCGCCTGTTTATAATTTGAAAGTAAAATGCAAATATTGTAATTAAAAAAGCAACCCTTTAACATGTACGTTATGCAAAATACTCAAAGTCAATGAACCATGACTAAAGGAACAGAGCCAAATGATTTCTGAGATAAAAGATATGTCAATAATAATTCAACTAAGGGAGCTACCATTTGATTTTTATGGGGGGGGGGGGGGGGAAGAATGAAAAATCTTGTCCTGCTTTTTTTTTAGTTGTAATCTCTGTCCTGCCTACTCTATTCGGTCCTGCCTTTTTTTTACTAGTTTATCCTGAATTTTTTTACACAAATTGTCATCCTGCCTTTTTTTTTACCAAGTTGCTCATCCTGCCTTTTTTTTTTACTCAAAACTCCTGTCCTGTCTATTTGTTTCAAATTTCATCCTAGCCCCCCCCCCCCCCCCCCATAAAAATCAAATGGTAGCTCCCTAAATACAATTGACTTATTATCATATGAGACATATTTAAAGTCAATAGATCATGACTAAGGGGCCATGGCCAAATAATCTCCATAGAAATGAGATGTGCCAACGCTTTTACAACTGCATACCAAATATCCTTCATGTACTCCGTCTAGGCGAGACAAAAAATCTATGTCTTAAAAATCATATAAATGTTTGAAATGGTTTACAAGTGCGCCATATCATTTACTTCCATTGATGGTTGACAGTTAGTCATTGGAGATACTGTCCAATATGAAGTTTGTTCTTCCGCACTATCAGTTTATACTCACACGATGTTAATTGTGTTTTAAATACTGATTTAATTGCCTCGTCCTTGTTTTTTTTACAAATTGCTAGGTTTGTGTACTTGATGAAGGTAAATACAGAAAAGCGCTTCGGACACATCTTATTTACAATGTATTAGCTCGTAATATTCATTTATGACCGGGTTGTACGAAGTTCAAGATGCTCTTAAAGTATTGTTTGCTGACACACTTGCGGATAAGTGGGTACTTATTAGTGTAATCATCTCCTACTTCACTAAACCATTGTGATATGGTCATAATTATAAATTAACTGTTTACAAAAAAGTTTTTTTCTACCCAAGGAGTAGATTACCTTTAAGTTAGCTGTATTTGCCAAAACTTTCGATATTTTAGGGACTCAATGCTCGTCGTGGTGTAGTGGTTAGCGCATCGGACTACTAACACAAAGGTTCCTGGTTTGACCCCCATTTCGGGGAGAAAATTTCAGGGACTGAATTTTCTGCTCTCCCTTGACACCATTTGCGAGTATGGTCTTGAGAAACGATGATAGTCCGTCGGAAGGGGACGATAAATGGCTTACCCGTGTTAAGAGAGAGCAATATCTCTTGCACGTAAAAAACACCCTTGTAGATTTCGAAAAAGAGCAGGCGAATGCCGTTACAAGGAAGCACTCGCACCCGCAAAGTGGAAAGGGGTTAATATAAGTTGCAATAACTTGTTTCCCAATCCAATAAATATGTTTAAAACTAATGCTCGTCAACTTCGTACTTTCTTTGGCCGTTAACTGTTTTAATTCGATCGTCACTGATGAGTCTTTTGTAGACGAAACGCGCGTCTGGTGTACCAAATTTGAAATGATGAGTTTATTGCACAAAGTCATATCATTGCTTCACCTAATGCGGATTGTTTAATGTCTTTTCCTAATTTATTAGTTTTTAAAAATTTTGTATATTTTAAAAATCATCATTATAATAGGCTATTTTCCGTTGTTTAAATAAACTAACCCAAATGAATACACCAAACACGGGTGAGATGGCCTGTATTGTTTATCATGACATACGTTCCATCCTCCGTCGGTAATAAGACCTAATCGTATTACTTCTTTGCAATGTATCTGTGTTGATTTCAGATAGCTACAATGATAAATCAGAAAGTTTTTACTCCCTACTGGAATTCGAAGTCTATATAACCATATACTTAAGATATTTAAACCGTATATATATATTTTTCATATTTCCTTTAATATTCAGTAATATATAATGCGTATTGTTTTAATCGAAAATATTTCAAATTTCAAATGTTGTATAGAAGGAAACCTTTTACCTAAAAAATCGTGTTGTATCTGAAAGACAATTTAAGTAATTATTTCCAATAGAATTAAGGCTAAGAATTTTCTTCTCGACAATGGAAATACGCATAGATGTTGCTAAAACCTTACTGTAAACATAGGAATCGGATACTGAGTGATTCAGTAAAGATTGGAGGACTTTTGAAAAATGCCCCTGGTTTGATATGATTTCAACGAAAAATTTATCTTAACCCCTTATTTATTGCAGTAAAAGGGAAATGATAAAAAAGATTATTTCTAATCGAAATAGACTTTTAAAAATTGATTACAAAATGTTGATTCTGTATTTTAGAGTTGAAAAATATATGGTTGTCTCGAGAGAAAAAAAAAATGCATCTTACAATTAGGAACACCATGAAAGATGAATGATAGGTGCACAGATACATGTAAGTGAAATCATCTCAAGAAAAATACGACATAACTTTGAAATATTAGAGGCTACATTTCAAGTACACCTCAGGTACAACAGAAATGTTTGCGGTCTTCACACATCACAAGAAACAAACTCTGTTAAAAAATGGAAAAGGATATTGTGGACTCAAAATTATAGCACGCTTTATGGGTGTGACTTTGAAGAGTTCATCAAGCTTTTATACAATGTACGTAGCATTACAGTGAAGACATACAGAGTGTTTAGATCGCCGATGAAGCAGTTAATGATATTTCAATTGCATCATTCAGTATATTTTTTTTCTTTTTATTACCAACATTTAATTAGTCTTTTCCATACCATGATTATACATTTTCTTGAATATTCCAAGAGAGGAGTTTTATTAGTCAAGTTAATGTATATGCATATATCAGTGCAATAATACAGCAACAATAAAGCCACTAGTTAAGTCAAAGCTATACTGTTAATATTTTTCGTCATTGAAATACACAATAACTTGTACAAAGTGTATAACATGTATGATGCATTCATTACTACTATTTTTAATCCAGGACCAAATATGTTAAATTATAGTTTATAGTAAACTTAAGGTATATCGGGTTTCTTTTTCTGAGCGTCCCTTCTGGTCATGTTATCTAAAACTTGAAATTTAAAGATCAAATTATATCAAAAAATTAAATGTCGTTTAGTGTATTTTCAATTCTTTTAAAATCAATGGCACATAATTATATTGAATATTGAATTTTTGATAGGTCAATTTTTGTATGGATTTTTCAAGAAAATAAGGCCCATGACCCACTAATTTTATTTTATATTTCGGAAGTATTTATGAAAATCATTTCTTTCATATAATTTTAACCTATTCTATAGTTTAATGTTTCCTCAATAAGGAAAAAATGAGTTTTCCTTATATAACACATATAAAATCACTGTGATTTCGTTAATTGCAGTGAATTTTAACGAAAGAAAAAGGTCCGTGACCCCTAGGTTTTATATTGAAATTTGAACAAAGTACATTGACCCAGAAGTCTTTTACAGAAGTTTTAGAAAACTATATCGTCGAACATTTAGACACCCTAGCTACATTAAAGTAAATTTCTTTAAATACTATGATCTATTCTGATAGAAAAAAGTCAAACATTAATTGTAATATTTGAAAATGCACTTGAAAAGTAAACTTTCGTAAAAAAACTGACCATATCGAAGTCAAGGTATCTTCATGTATTGACTGAAACAATAACATATACTGTACCGTATATATAGACCATTAATTTCCGTTTTACTAAAGGTTCTGAGTATTCCATCCTCAGGAATGACAATATGAGTATGATCTGTCTAATAGAAATATTAAAATAAATATTTCGGGCAAGAGTGTTTGAACTCCCGGCTAGTCAAATTAAAGACCTTGAGATTAGGTTTTGCTATTTCTAATGAAATTCTCGAAATTTATAAGTTTGATCGGAATCAGAAAACTGTGTCCAGTTTAATATGTAACATGTGTATGAAGATAACTGCCTTGTGATCAGCATATTGAAAGCAAGGTTCGTGAGATATGGATTTGCACGTATCGTCTCGAATATGAATGATATATTTGCCGCCGAGTATGAAAATTCTGAACTATGACTGACGTGGCTGTTAACAACTATGGATCAACGTACTTCCTTCATTAATGAACACATGTCCAGTCCGTAAAGTAAGCTATTCATACCAATTCTCTGTATCCATCAACCCAAGTTGGGCACTGACAACAAACATTGACATCAAATACGAAAAAAATCATGTTTATGTCGCACTGTATGTTGTTTGGTTACCATGGCAACAGAGATTGAATTTTTGAAAAAAGATGATTTTGGGGATTCTATGCTTACAGTCACTTTAATATTATATAAAATGTTTGTTAAACTTCAAATCATGTTAAAATTTGACAAATACTTGTCTTGTTCAACAACTTTTTAATACTTGTTTTTCTCAAATTTAGTCCAATTGTTTCTTCCATCAGGGTTAACAGTATGAATTTTGGGCATATTTTTAAGCAATTATGTACTAACTTCCTTCATCATTTATGCGAAAGCGCATCCATTTCTATATAAAGTAAATAATACATTTTATCTAAATTGTTTTACTAGTATATAAAAAGTCCCCTACGTGACAAAATGTAATAACGTTTCGAACGATATTAACTAACTGTCTTATTAATGATAACACACACTGAACGAAAAACAAATATTATAGATATCAACCAACGACAACTACTGAATTCTTCTAAATAACCATTTTTGTTCCTGGCTTACTTTTTTTAATATTTATAAATGGACTACGTTCTTATGATGTGCATGGCTTATAAATCCTTTTACAATATCTTTAGCAGCCTAAATAGGCATGACATATTTGCTACTGGAAGTTAGGCAAACGACAAGAAATCTATTCAAAAGAATGCATCGTTTCTTGAACTGTTTTTTGTAAGCCCAATATAGCTTAGTAGACAAAAATAACAAACCAGTAAAACCGGTACCAGTAACCAGTGCAGGACCTGGATATTTTAGACACCAACCTGTAAGGTTTCAATTTCAAATAATAACCCCGATTCTAGTAAGTCTCGATAAAGACTGCATGACACCCCTAAGAAATAGAAAACACACACACCTTAAAACAAAAACAAGTATTCAAAATCAAAAGGTAATCAAACAACAAACAACTTACGGATCCCTAGGATTTTACAGCATTGCATTCGAACAGTATTAGAATCTTTATTTCCAGACCTATTATGTCCTTTAATATGTCTTACATGTACCTACCAAAGTCTTATTGTGATTTATGTAAAGTGATCTTCCTACTGGGTTCTCCGTGGCTTTACACGCATGGTAAATCTAGAAAGACAATACATCAACAAGCGTCTAAGCATTGTAAAAGATATCCATTCTACGTCATATAACGAAAATAAATTTTTAGTGGTATTTTTCTGTACCATATGAAAAATTGACAAACAATCTAACAAAATCTTTTAATTACTAAATTCTTCCATAGATACAAAGATTTGGTTTAGAAGTTTGGCTGTACCTGTAGAAAACTTATTTCAAGCGGGATAGCACATTAATTCTTATTTTTACGGAGATGTTGTTTACCGAGCCCGCAAATTTAGATACGATCCCGGTAAACTTATCGATCCTTTAAATAAACTTATTCTAAAAAGTTACCGATTCAACACTGTAATTTAAGCTTTGAATATTGTTTTTATTGGTATAAATATTGATTTTGTTATCTACAATCTGAACTAGCAGCCAGTAACTGCAAGTACTCTCAGATCTGTACTCAGTGTCTTTTTTATTGTTGGGATGTATGAATATCCTGCAACATCCGGTCTGAGTTTTTGTTACTTGTTTTTCGGCTTTGTATCGATCTGATAAGTTAAGCCCTTTTCAACTGAGGTAATAGTTCATATGTTGTGCTGTTACACTACCGTCCCAGGTTATAATAAGGTAGGAGGGTTGGTCGAGCGCAAACATGTTTAACCCCGCCACATTCAATATATGTATATTCCAAGTCAGGAGCCTGTAATTCAGTGGTTGTCGTTTGTTGCCGTATATCATACCGGTATTCGTTTTTCGTTTATTGTTTTGTACATAAATCAAGCCTTTACCTTTCTCGTTTGAATTGTTTTACATTTGTCATTTCGGGGGCTTTTATAGCTGACTATGCGGTATGGGGTTTGCTCATTGTTGAAAGCCGTACGGTGACCTATAATTGTTAACTGCTATTTCATTTGGTATCTGGTTTAGAGTTGTCTCATTTGCAATCATACCACATCTTCTTATATTATATTAAAATATATAATAGTTTTGTTTTTGAAAACCACCTTATTGGCCATGAAAAACAATCTTAAAATTTTACCGTGACCTTTTCTAAAAAGCTGAAAAGTCCTTTTGAACATGGTAACATGAGAGACAAAATATTGCATCACCTATCAACACATGTTTTAATGTTTTGTTGTATGACATTATTAATTATAGATATAAATAAGAAGATGTGGTATGAGTGCCTATGAGACAACTCTCCATCCAAGTCACAATGTATAAAAAGTTTACAATTATAAGATTGCATTTTTTTATATGTTGTTCCAAAATTATTGTTGTTTTGATTTACTTATAAAGGGAGCGGGTTTAACCAGTAACTTTTGTTCAAGTTTACAATTTTAGAATTGGATTTTTTTTAAATGACCCAGGTATGATTATGTTTTTTTGAAGTTTCGTTTTGAATCTTGACCCTACAAAATATCATGCAAAGATAAATCATCTGCATACCATATTTAGATATACACTGCTTGTTCTTATTTTGTTCTCAAGAATGCATGACCATTCTGGCATCGACCAATATATCCTAAATCCTATTTGAAACAGTTTTCTAAGACGTTTGAGCGCTGATAAGTATTTGATCCCAGTTTTCTTATCTCCGTAGTTTATCCGAATTGGCAGGTGCTGCATCTTTTTCAATAGTCCATTTTCTATCACTTCACCTAATACTTTATCTATTAGAGCTTCTACATCAAGAATGAACACATCTCTGCCTTCCTTCAAAAGAAATTATAAGCATATATGATGGCGTGACCAAACTTGTATTTGTCTGAGTTGTTCAAAATATCAGGTTAATTTCTTTGAACAAATGCCGCCGTCAAATATCCCAAACCTTTAAATAAAACCCTTTAAATAAAATCCTTCAACAATGTGATAAATATATATTAATGTATAAATAATTACAGCGATTTTCTCTCCCCGTAATTGTTGTCCTTAACTTTGTTCACATTCATGCATCTTGGATATTTGACGCAAAATACTTAACATAAAAAGACTAAAACTATCATTTCAACTCTTTTAATCATATACTCTATGAATATTTAAAAAAAAAACATAAAAGCATGCGTCCGAATATAAGAATATACACATATTTGTGTCACTTCGGTAAAAGAGAGGTTAAAGATACCAAAGGGACATTTAAACTCATAAGTCGAAAGTAAACTGACAACGCCATGTCTAAAAAAAAAAAAAAGACCAACACACAAACAACAGTTCACAAAACACAACATAGAAAATTAAATACTGAGAAACACGAACCCCACCTAACACTGTGGATGATTCCAGGTGTTCCGGAAGGGTAAGCAGATCCTGCTCCACTTGTGGCACCGTAAAATTGTTCGAACAATTTAAGAAAAATATAATTAGTTCTGAGATCATTTCGATGAACCATCAAATGACTACAGGTACAAACTGATTCATATCGTATAAAATTCAGTCGTTATTTTCCACTGATCTTCGATTGCATCAGTAGGAGAGATCGATTACGGGTAGGAAATGAATTATTCGGGTTATATAAAATGTAATACCAAAAACGTATTCCTACCGATCTTCGTTTTACTTCATCGCACCACACTCCAAATTTTGTTGAATATTTAAAGAGTCCTTCTTCGTCCTTTGGTATAACATCTGTTTCCGTTTCTCCAGACTTTAAACTTAAAACCAATAAAAGACCATTACGCGAAAAATTATCTTTAAATTTTTTAATTATTTAACTTGCATGATCCTCCGACAATGTGTATATGAAAAACAAATTGAAAGTAATTGTTCTGCCAGTTTTACAAGGGTCGTGTTGTTGTTTTAAAGTGACAAGTTTGGCTGAAAAAAAATAGTTGCACAATTTTGATGGATTTTTGAAATTTAAAGTGCACAATGCCTCCAAAACTTTATGATTAGCATTATAATGTATATAGTTTCGTTGGTATCTCAATGCCTCATAGTGGTTATAGTTCAGAAAAGTTTGAAGTTGCGAGAGCTACAGTACGTATACGAAAGATCATTTTGCTTAATCACGGTTTTCGTTTAGTTTACATTTTCTCGTCTTAATGAATAATACGTTTTGTCACAGTTTTAGGTGTTGTTTTCCAAGTATTGTGTATATTTGGCTTTCTCTTTTTCGATGAGGTGAGATTATTTGAGCTATAAAAATTGCAATTACCTAATTACATAATAGAATACCTTATGCATAAATCAATTTTGTAAAGGATATTTACCTCGGTTTGTGTCTATAAACTTTGGCTTTATAATGCAAATCTATACTCTGAGCATTCATCTTATCATTCACTGTGCTGTTAAAAATATGAAAATCTACACATGTGATATTAAATGATATAAAACAATTTAAAAAAATGTGTTTTAGATTCTAAGCATCCTTAAACTGATGTCTGAAAATATGTGGAAAATTAATTGTATAGACACCTGGGTTCAAGTAGTGTAAGGGTACATATTTACTGCGGAAGTGCTATTTAAATTTAAAAGAGTCGTTCGGTTTTAGGAGTAGATCGATTTAAAAAGGGCATAATCAAAAGTCGGTAAATTTCCATAGAAAAATTAATTCGGCTGGTCGACACTTTAGAAAGTAGTAAAAAAATTATCAGTTATATAAGTGCTCGGCAAGTCGGCAGGTCGGCAATTAAAAAAGAAAACTGTGTTCAATTTTAAAAATTTGCTGGTTGGCACTTTTAAATTTTGGCTCATTTACATGTTAAATAAATGAATAATTACATATGTATACTGACTATAATACATTTGCCAACAGATCTGCCAACCTACCAATATATTAAAGCTACCATTATGACTAGAAACTATTTAACGGTAGACGGTCGAACTTCCAGCCTATCCACAAAAAATGTATTCTATAAGGAAGTGCAGACTTACGGAAGCGTATTAGCGCCACTAAAACTTTTTATTTATGCGTCTTTCTATGTTTGCCTTATAACGTTAAAGATAATATCATATAAAAACACACCAGTCATATGTAGCATTTTTATACCGGTCCAACAATTTAAGTATATCATAGGATTTTCAGCTTGCTCAATGGGTTGCGATTAAAATTGTGCTACTTCTTTAGAAAATAAATTGTAAAATTTATACAACACCAGCCATTGGTAGGAATTTTTGTTTTCTATTTCCTTTACCAATAATACCAATAAAAAAAGAGAATAGCAGCTTGCGAAATGTGGTACGATAAAATTTGTAAATGGATTGTGATAAAACTGTTATTAAAATGTATATAAAATGTTCAGGACAAAGAAAATATAAATGGAGGTTGCAAGATAAGTGACTTTTACAATATATCAGCGCTCTTCATATGTACAGCTTGTTGAACGAACAACAAGCATGTGGATTTTAAGTAACTTATAATTAAATATCGTTTAGAGTCGGCACATGTATACAGTTAACAATAGACAATAGACACTAGACTATAAATAAGTTACGGTTCTCATTGTAAAATTCAACAAAACTCTTTTTAGAGACTTATTTCAGAAAAATATTAGTTTTGACGAATGAATACATCACGTACTCAAAGGCACCGTTAAAATTAGAAAGGAAAAAAAAAACAAACTGAAAGAAAAAAAAACCATTTTGATAGACAAATTTTAAATATATGTACACTATCATCTTTTTTTAATAACATTTAATAATGCCCATTGATGAAACCACCCTAGTAGTTAAATCGGAGGGTGAGATGCAAGTGCATTTTGCATTTATAAATTTTTAAATTATATAAAAACCATATTTTGTGACGTAATATTCGACCATCCCGATTCAGAATTTTATAGTTCTTAAATAATTCAGCGGTATATTGTTTTTCCCTCACATAAACTCTGAAGGAATCACAAGAACTCCAAAAGGAGCAGGACCGTGGAGTAAGTACTAAGCATATTCTGTTATGCATGCACATCCTGTCATGCTAATCAAAACTCAGTCAAAGTGTTACAATCAGTAATAAGACACTATCGGTACATTCACAGATCAAACAACTATTCTGGTATCTGATCTAAGTAAAAAGATGTCGTAAGTGAGTTTAGAAACATGTTGCTGGTAAGTTGTGACACTGCTACAATTCCAAAACTTACAAAACATAAAACGTAGGTTAGCACATTATCATACTGATCTAAAGATAATATCTTATATCATTTTGTTTCACAAACTCATTGAATAACTAAAGACTTCTCCAAGAAAACACATATATTTCATTTTTTAAACAAACAACAAATACATTCAACCCAAATGCAAGTTTACATTATGCCCTTAATTATAAAACAAAATCCTGATTCATTACACTCTAACTATTTTTCTGCATTTACTTTTCAGGTACGCAAAAGGTTGACTTACAGCCACCGCAAGTGATATGACAAATAGAAATAGATATCATTTTTAGATAGTACAGGAGGAAAACAACAGTTTTTTTATTACCTTAATATCATGTAAACTTGTCTGTAAATACTACAAGAAATACTTCAGCATACATAATGTAAGAGATATAAATTTAGAATTATTTATTAGTCATACCTTATAACCCAAAAACTTGTATTTGTATTTGGTTTGTAACATTCATCTTCACAAATATTCCAGCCATCATTTATAGTACCATGTCGACTACGTTTTGCACAAAATGCTTGAATCGTTGAAGTTATTCTATAATCTTTTTTGAAACAAAGACGCATCTTTCTAATGCATGATTTAAAACGTTTAGCCTTATAAAATGTACGAATAGAAACAAAAACATGATAATGCTTTTTGTGTTAAAAAGATAGGGTTGTTCTGGTTCCATGTCAATAACCTTTTCAGTAGGTTTTGTTTTCTTTAAACAATTGCTGTTCATTGCAGATCTGTGAAGTTCTCTCTTAAGTTTATTCCAATCTTGTCTAGACGAGAATAATAAGAGCTTGATTAATGGTATATACACTAATAAGTTTTGTTTATCGTTGAATATCTATTGCTATAGTGTGTGATAAAATTGTGTGAGGTTATCTAATAATTGTTATACTACGGTCCATTTGAATAAACTCATCATAGATACCAGAATTGATATTTTGTACGCCAGACGCGCGTTTCGTAAACAAAAGACTCGTAAGTGACACTCGAGTAAAACAAGTTTAAAAAGGCCAAATAAAGAACGAAGTTCAAGGTTTTTATACTGAAGTGCAGTTTTACCTTCATGAATTCCAGATGTTCATTTCAAATGAGCGAAGCTAAATCAGGGCTATTTTTGCAATTATATTTTATATAAGTAAACGATTTGATTATTTCTAACTATTCCATGTTTTGTTTGTTTGAGTGCAGGAGCGGATTCAGATGTGTGTGTGTGTGTGTGTGTGTGTGTGTAGGTAGGCGATGGTGAAGATGAGATGGCTGTTGATGGTGGTTGTGTTTTTCATTCGCCTGTCTTTGATTGTACATTAGTTAATATATTATACAAATAGCATGCAAAAAGACTCGTTTAATGATACCTATGATATAAACAGTCAACCACATTTATTGGCAATACTCTCAAAATATTGTCTGGTGGAATGATAAAATTTCCTTCACTATTTTTAAATTGCTCAATCTGAAAACACAAAAACATAGCTTGAGATATTTATATATAAGAATTACAGTTGTGTTTATATTTCAATAAAATGAATGACATAAATTGGTCGATTTATATTTCCGTGATTTTGATTCATCCAACGAGTTGACCAAGTTGACTGACTGGCGTTGCCCATAACGACCCTTTAACTCTCCCGTATCAATAAAAGGGAGATCATACCTTAAATATTAGTAACAAAACAAATGAACAATATTTGAGAATGTCTGGATTAAATTAAGATGTCATCCTTTTGACTATACTAATTACTAGTACTCATTATTATTTGTTCAAACAACTACTTCTTTACACATAGAAATTTAATAGGTTATGTTGGTGTAGGGGCAGCAATTTGCCTCAGAGAGTTGTTGCAATTGTTCTTTAACATGCAACAGATCGGGTCATTTATTTACACGGGGTCCCAATTCAAATCAGAAGCAACTGCGTATATATTTTCCCGCACAGCAACAGTTTTATTGCCGAAACGGGATCATCATATTTCTATTCCCAGCTGTCAAGCATTGGGGTTGCCAGGGAAAAAGAAGAATTACATAAACAAAAAAATGCTGTAAAACTTCTTGTGAAACAAATAAACAGGGGTATGTCTCACTAGTCCTATATGTTTCTTATCATAGTAACTTTCGGAAAAAGCAGATTTCCTTGAAATAAACATTAAAGGTACCAATTTTCTGCACCAGTAGCGCATATCGACGATTAATGTCTCTTCAGTGACGCTTGAAGCAAAAATAATTGAAAATCCAAAACCTTTTACAAACGTTGAAGAGCTGATAAAACCAAAAAGTATCCAAAATAACTTTTTTTATTTATCTTTTATAAGACTTATCTTTGATGAGTTTTAGCAACATTATTGGTGGTTTGCCCCTACACCTAGCGTTACGGGAACCCATGCCAAAAAGGATTTTACGGTGTATTATTGGTCTCGAGAAATTATAGGTAAACATTCTTGTTTTAGTTACTTGACTTATTTGCGGTTCAAGAAGGATATGTCGGCACTGCATAATAATCCTCTTGTTCATATAACAGAGAGTAAAATTTCGAACTTGCTCATTTTGAATGATAAAAATCCTTTGAAAAAAGAAATCAAATGTACAAAAAAGAAATTACTGTATTTCATCTTTTAAAGCTTAGGAACATGTAATATGGAAGGAGGTTTTATGAAAATTTAGGACGTAAAAACTCAAGAATTTGAAAACTCTTCTCTAATGGTAAGCATTTTACAGAGACAAAAAAATCCGTCTTGCTTGTGTTTGAGCTATATTTGTAAAACACCTCTGCAAGATTCTCAGATAATCGAAAACCAACTTATAAATAAAATAAACGTTCATTTTTCTAAGTTAGTTTTTGTCTCGCCTCGACAAGATCGAGAAGGCCAGACTTAGTAGTACTGGTTTCGCCGACTGGGTCACTAATTCGTTGAAGTTTGTGATTAGGTCAGATTAAAGAGAACCGCTAATGGTAAGTAAATTGTGTACGGTATGTTATTGTATAAACAATGTCACATAACATTTCAGCCGTCAGAAATGCTATATTGACTTTGCAACGTTTGTTTAGTTTATATGGTAAAATTTGAGATTACGTCAGGTTAATTGATTGTGGTATTTGAAGCCACTTTCAGCACATGTGGTTATATCATGGCGGCTAATGTTTTATTTTATGGAGGAAAACCAAGTCTTGTACAA